AAAATTACCTAATTTAAATCATTTTAAAATTTACTAATTAATAAAAATTGTAATTGTTACTTTTTGTATGAATCAATTCAATTATTTATAAATTATTAAATAAAAATTCTTTGAGACTTTGGTTTTTTTAATTTCTAATGAAATTTTTTAACAAATTGTATTATTTTTATGTAATATTTTTAAGACAGTTTCACAAAATTTTAATTAATTTAATAATTTTTTAATAAAATTATTTTAAAAATTCAATTATGGAAATTGGCAAAATTACTAACTATTCTATTCAATTTGACTAGGATTTGCAGGGTTGTTTTAGGCAGACTTGGATTTGTTGAATCAACCTAGCATTCCTAACCATAATGATTAGGACTCCTTATTACTTTTACTAGGTTAAGATTAACTATAGGAAAACAGTTAATAAAACCAACGAGATTTTTTCGGTGTAAATAAATAAACAAATAAGTAAAATAAATAACTAAATAAGTAAGTAAGTAAATTTAATTAATTAATATCTTAATAATAATATAAATTATATAATATCTCAGTCGGTAGAAAGCCTGTATCGCTCCAGTTGCTAGACGGACGAATACACTGCCAGTACAACGCCGGTTGCGAGGTGGTATAAATTCTGAACCGGCGGTCGGACCAAATCCTGTACCGACGACAGTAGAAAAACTGTACCGAAAGTCGGATCCGTCTTTGCACCGCGCCAGCAGACGCCTGTGACGTCATGGGAGGAAAGCATTGAGTAGATGGGATGGTGGGAGCATGACAGTCGCAACTTCGCTGCGATTTTGCCTCCATGTGGAACCGCTGTTAAATTCGAATCGGTACAGACTGCCTGCACTCGCATTCACTCTTTAATTCAATCAGCGCGGACGCTAGACGGTTGGACGATCCCGTATTCGTCCCAGGGCTCGGATCGTCTTTAAGACTCAAAAAAGTCGCTTTAGTCGCATAAATTCACAACAAAAGTCACGAAAAGTCGCATAAAATTTCCGAAAAAATCGGAAAAAAGTCACATGAAATTAAAAAAAAACGTTATGAAGGAAACACAAAATTGTCAAAAATGTAAAAGAAATTACATTTCTCGACAAAAAAATTTTTTTTTTAATTTCTCGTCAAAATTTTATAAATAATAAAATGTATCAAGGAAATTTAATTATTTTCAAAAGTTCCGATAAAATTCTTTGCAAAATTCAATTATTTTCAGAAATAATAAAATTCTTTGCAAAATTCAATTATTTTCAAAAATAATAAAATTCTTCGCAGAAAGTCATTTATTTTCAAAAATTTTTTTAAATTCTCCTCAAAATTTCAATTATCCTTATAAATATCAAAATGCTTCTGCAAAATTCAATTACTTTTAAACATTTTTAAAAGAAATCTGTTCAAAATTTCAATTATTTTTATAAATAATAAAATTCGTCTCTGAAATTCAATTATTTGCAAACAATTTTAGTAAAATTCTTGTCAAAATTTTAATTATCTTTATAAATAATAAAATTCACACTAGAAATTCAATTATTTTCAAAAGTAATAAAATTCTTCTCCGAAATTCAATTATTTTCAAAAAATTTTAAAAAAATTCTTGTCAAAATTTCAATTATCTTTATAAATAATAAAATTCATACTAGAAATTCAATTACTTTCAAAAGTAATAAAATTCTTTGGAGAAATTCAATTACTTCCAAATTTCTCGTCAAAATTATCATTATCTTCATAAATAATAAAATTCATCATGAAAATTTAATTATTTTCAAAAGTTCTGATAAAATTCTTTGCAAAATTCAATTATTTTCGGAAGTAATAAAATTCTTTGCAGAAATTCAATTATTTTGAAAATTTTTTTTTAGATTCTCCTCAAAATTTTAATTATCCTTATAAATATTAAAATGCTTCTGCAAAATTCAATAATCTTTATAAATTATAAAATTCTTCTCTGAAATTTTTATTATTTGTAAAAATTTTAATAAAAATCTTGTCAAAATTTCAATTATTTTCATAAACAATAGTTTAAACATTTTTTTAATTATATAGTCTTATAATATAAAATAATGATTTTATCACTCGGTCATCTTTAATTATTATAAAACATGAAGACATCGATCACTCCGAGTCTTCGACTCAGAGCAATCGATATCTTCATGTTTTATAACAATTTTTTATAATTTGTTTAATTTCAAAAAGTTTTGAATTTTAAACTTTTGAAGAATTTTAATTCCTATTGAAAAATAATTAAATATTTATTTGAAAAAGAAGTTATTGATGTTTTCGAAAAATTTGAAAGAAATTTGTAAATAAATGTAACAGAACATTTTTTGACTAAAACTTTTTCCTTTAATTTTCTAAAAAAAAATTTAATTTCAGACGCATTTTACAAAAAAAAATCTCGAAAAAGTCGATTAGTCGCATTTTTTCACAAAAAAGTCGAAAAAAGTCACATTTCCTTAGAAAAGTCGAAAAAGTCTCACAATCCGAGCCCTGCGTCCGTCTTTTCCGCCCGGGTTAATCTCTAAATTTCTAATATACATTTAATTGAAGAATTTCCGAATAATCAAAATTTCGAAAAATTGAATTTCAAACAAAATTGGATTTAGAAACTCTCAAAAAAACTGTTTCAAAAATTATAAAAAATAATTTATTTAAAGAGGAATTTCAGTTAAAAATTCTAAAAGATAATACATGAATTAAAATGTTGAAAATAATTTCGAAGTAGTTACAGTAATAATATTCTTGAAATATAAAATAATGATTTTATCACTTGATAATTTTTATTATAAAACATTAGGATATATGTCTGCACTCTCTAAATCTAAATTAGTGTGGATTCGTTTACTAATTTGAATTAGTAACATTTTTTAATAATAGGTACTAATAATTAGTAAAAAAAACTACTACTAAATAAATATTTAAATACTTCTTGTTTGTTTTGAATAAGAATAAAATTTTCAAAAATCCTATTTAAAATCTTTCTGAAATTTAATAACTTCTAAAAATAACAACATTAATTCTCTTAAAATTCAATTATTTTCTACAATTTTTAATCAAACTTCTTCTCGAAAACAATTATTTTTAATAATTTTCCTAAAGTTCTTAGAAAATCCATTTAAATACAAAAATTCGGTTTTTTATAATGATTCTAACTGTCCAGGTTTTTTTAAGTTATTAATTAATTTTCAAAAAATTATATAATAAAAAAATTCTTAAAATTAATTTTTCAAAAATATTTTAAAAATAATTTATGAAAGACAATAGTTTTTTAATTATATACAATTGAAAATTTTCACACGGAGAAAAATAGTTAGCTATTTCAGCTAATTTTTAGCTACCTTAGCTAACCTTAATTGCTATTATATGGATAGCAATTATTGTTAGCTAATGCAGCTAATAATTAGCTAAAATAGCTAAATTGTTTTGCTAAAACAGCTAATTATTAGCTGTAATAACTAAAAATTAGCTATCCATATAATAGCAAACTCATTTTCTTCCGTGCAAGCAATTGAAATTTGGTAAATTCTATTCCAAAAAATAATTGAATTTTTAAAGAATTTTAATTATTAATATAAATGTGATATCTCCAAAAATTTAATAAATCTAAAAAAGTAAAAATATTTCTTAATAGAATTTTTCTATAATTTACAAAAAAATAATTTTTCCAAGAATTTTGATAAAAAAATTTTAACATTACTGTTATATGTTGTTAAAATGTTAAAAATAATTGTAAAAAATTTTAATATTATTTTTTGTAAGTAGATATTTGAATTTTTTGAAATTTATATAATTTTTAGAAGCTAATTTTTCATTAATAACCATTTTTAAATTTACACTTGAAGATTTTTTATTAAAATTTTTTAAAAATCAATTATTTTCAATTAAATTGTACAAAATTTAAATTATTAAAACTTTTTTATTGTAAATTTTGAAAATTTATTTAGGATTTATAAAAATAGTTGTATTGTTTCGAAGAAATGATTAAAATATAAGGAAATAATTGAATTTTATGAAAATATTTAAATTCTTCCGAGAAATTCAAATAAAATTGTATTCAATTTCAATTATTCACAAAATTAGCAAATGAAATTCTTTATAAAATTTGATTTTTAAAAATATTTATAAAACACTTTGAAAAAGATAAATTATTTTTAATTTTCGGAAATTTATTAGAAAAATTATTAAACAATAATTTTTGAACATTTGTCTGTAGTTATTTTTTAAACTATTTAAATATCGAAATAAATTGCATTTTATACTAAAAATTATTGCAATATTTGGAAGAAAAGTCGAAAAAGTCGTAATTTTTGAAAAGAAGTCGAATAAAATCGCATTTTTTGAATCTAGACGAAAAACTTATAATATCCGAGGCCTGTAAATATGAACACCACAAAAATAAACAGAATGTCACATTATTCAGGACATTTATTTAGAGTGATAACACCCTTCTATAATCAAAATTGCAATGCTCTAACTATTTCTGTTCGAAAGATAATGAATTTTAACTGTTTTGACAGTTTGACCTTTCGCCCCAGTCTCCCCTATTTATAAAAATATTTGAATTATTGTAAAGAAATTTATAAAAAAATTTTTAAATAATATATTGAATTTCTGTGCAATTTTTATTATTTTTGAAAATAATGAAATATTTGAGTAGGATTATATCAAATTTTTTTTTTAATAATTAAATTCTTTTGGAAAATTTTACTAAAATAATGGTAGATATTGAAAATCATTGAATTAAGAAAAAATTGAATTCTTCATATGAATTTTAAAAGAACATTTTTTTTTTAAATTGATTTTTTCGAGGAATGAAAATTAAATTTTTAAGAATAATTATACTTTGCGAAAAATTATATTAAAGTTTTCCAAAAGAAATTAATTTCTCAAAAATTGTGGATAATTGAATTTCTGTGGAGATTTTATTATTTATGAAAATAATTGAATCGTTTTAAACAATATGATTATTATTTTGGGGAATATTTTTTTGCTTTGGGGCCTTTCAAGTATTACGCAAACATTTTAGGTTTTTAGACCCACTCCTTCCCCAATCGTAAGATTTTTTACATACATTAGCGCCATTTTTCTAATGAAAGTAATCAATAGCTAGACCCCCCTTCCCCTTAAATGGGTGAGGGGGGTCTGCCAGATCTTACGAACAATAAAAAAATGACGCTAATGTATGTAAAATATCTTACAAAGGGGGGGGGGGGTAAGTAACACGTAAGTAACCTGGAAACAAAGGCAACCTAATTTGTTTACAGTGATCTTTGTGACACGAGTGGAGGTTGCCGAGACCATGGCGCCCTCGACCTCCACTTGGGTCACAAAAATCACCGTAAACAAATAGCTGCCTTTGTTCCTTTTTTGCTTAATATACTAAAAGTTGCTGAAATCTAAAAGAAGTTCCTAAATATTAGCATAACGCAAAAAAGTAGTAAATAGTAGATATTAGTAGATGAGTGCGAAGCCTGCAAAATTTAAAAGTTATAAAACCGAAGAAGGTAACAAATTATCAAAAAAGAAAAAAAAACGAGAAACTTTATGCGCGCATCATTCGCACAGATGAAAAAGTATACCAACCTTTCGATGAAGCAGTTGCTTTTCAACAATTGTCTTTTGATTCCTCGACTGCAGAGTATCTTCTTAATACAAAAAATTCACTCACAGGATTAAAAGCACAATAATTTTAGTTTTTCTCAATATTTACGGTAGTAACGCAATCCGAAGAAGCTCCCGTTGGAATAATGAAATCAGCGGTGGGCTAGACGGCGAACGCAAACGGCTCCCACTCTCACGTATGATAGTGTGTGTGTGGTCTAGGAAGGTGCAAGTTTGCCGTGAGAGTGGGGGCCGCTCGCGTTCATCAACTGACAACAAAACTTTTTCTGAAAACGCGTCGCGAGAACGTGATGAATGAGATAGAAAAAATACAAATATTTCTCTGTACTTTTCTATCTCATGTATGGCAGGACGTTTTTTCGTGGTACTTCCTATATTTTACTATATCAATATACATAAGAGCGTAACGAAAAAGCGTCCCGCTTATACGCATCTTAGATCGTAGTGTGGATTTCCCATTAGGGCACTTCAGCCACTTGTGTGCATTTTTTGTGGCGCGTGCCGCCCATGTTACAACAGGTCTACCCTCCCCTTCCATATTGTTAGTGTTTTGGGCATCTTCTAACGCTTCTAATACAATCTTCGCTGTTTAGTCGTTCAGTTAATCATTTGTAGTCGTGCGCAGTGCTGCGAAATTAGTACGGATAAACAGCGCTTTAAAAGGTGAAATATTTTAACATTTTATTACTTTTTTCTTTTGCATTTTACTACCTTTTTTTAATAAACTTTTCTTGCGATATAGTTGCAATATTTTTTATTAATGAAGTTTATTGAAAATTTATTTTCGTTGATCAACATTGTGGACTTAAACTTAGTATCTTAATGTAATTTAATTTTTTTTTGGAATTCATGCATTTCGAATAAAATAACAAATAATTTAATTATTTTTTAAACAAAAAAAATTTTTTAATATAAAGAAATTGTTTTTCATTTTGAGAAACTTTTTCTATAATTTTTATTCCAATAAGAGATATTTGTATTTAATTATAGGTTGAAGAAAAACTTTTTTTTAAACAGAAATCTTTGTTTCTATTACATAATAAAAGTTTGTTTTCAGAAATTAGTTTCCTTTATTATCTTGTATACATTCTGCATAAAATAATAAATAAATAATTATTTTTTTAATCACAATTTTTTTAATAAATAAATTAGAAGGTGGCTAAATTAATCCTTTTTAAACTTAAGATTTTTTTTTAAATTTTGAATTTAACTGCAAATCTTATTTTCTTATTATAGCAAATTTAAAAAGAATCTTTTTTTAACCTTCGGAGAACATATGAGGATCTTTTTGACCCCACGCATTTTTACGAAAAGCTTTTTATCTTTTTTTAATATTTTTAATAAGGATTTTCAAGTATACAGACTTATTCTACAGACTTTAAACTATATTTAAGAAAAATCTTTAGTTTGAGATGAGCAGTTTAAAATTGGTTGAGCTTTGAAAAATGGTCTAAAAAAGAGGTGTGTTATCCAAGGGTTAAACAAAAATATTAAAATTTCTCTATAAACGTAAGGAAAGTTTTCTTTTAACAATTAAGTTTATGTTATTTTTTATTTTAAAAAAGCTTTTTCATGCAATTTCACATGTAAAAATACATTGTATCACGTTTAGTACAGACCCCCCCCAATTAAAAAAATTAAATTAAACTAATTTCTGAAGAATTTGAATTAGTGAAATTTTTCAAAAATTTAAGTTGTTTAAAGTTTCAAATTAAATTCATTCAAAATTTAAATTTTGTAAAATTTTAAATTGTAAACAAAGTTTTTAAAAGTCATAAAATTCTTCGCAAAAATTAATTATATTCAAAATTTTTTTTAAATTGTCAAAATTTCAATTATCTTTATAAATAATAAAATTCTTCAAAACGCTATTACTTTCAAAAATTTTATTAAAATTCTTGGCAAAATTCCAATTATTTTCAAAAAGTTTCCTCATTAAAATGATTTTCAATATCTACTATTTTAATAAAATTCTTCCAAAAGAATGTAATTGTTTAAAAAAGTTTTAATTATTTTCATAAAATAATAAATATTTTACACTAATTTAATTATTTATAAATTTCTTCGCAATAATTCAAATTTTTTATTTTCATGAATAATACAATTTTTACTGAATTCAATAAAATTGAATGCTGGATGTTATAAGACAATAAGTGCCATTTCTCATCTTAACATTGAGGGTATCCCTTTATAGCACCCAACCCCTTAATTATTTTCGCAAATAATAAAATTATTTTTAGGAATTCAGTTATTTTCATAAATAATAAAACTCATCAAGGAATTTCAATTAATTTTAATACAATTTTAATCGAATTCTTTGAAAAATGTAATTCTTTATGAGAATTTAATTTTAAGAAATATTCAATAAGTCAATTATTATTATTTTTGTTTTTAAATAATTGAATTCTAATAAAAATTGATTAAATAATAATTGAATATTAAAAGTAATATAGCGTGAATTTTTACAAATAATTGGATTTTGAAATTAATTTTTTTGGAGAAGAAAATAAAAACTTTAAATAGGTAATATAAAAAAGAATTCAATTAACATCGAATTCTTTTTTATATTACCTATTTAAAGTTTTTATTTTCTAATTTGTATTGAAGAATTCAGGAATAATTGAAATGTCGTAAAATTGAATAAAGTCCGGGGGGAGATGTTCATAGTTTTTTAAAGCACGGTACAAATGACAAAAAAGCGATTTTTGTGTAATCTTTTATTAATGATTAATCATTGAAATCTCAACTTTAAAGTAACGAAAAATAAAATATTTTCATTTCTCCCGGAATGTCTGAGAGAGATGGTCAAAGCTTATTTTGGCTTTTAGCTTAAACTTAATTTTTAATCGTTCACATTACTTTTCTTTTATTCTTATTATTTTAATAATTAGATTTTTTAACAGATTCAAACTGGCAGCGCTGTTTTTGGGTGCTCTGAAATCAATCATGAGCTCGACGGATCAAAATGTGAGTATAAAAATAATACACAAATAAACATGTTTTATATAAATAATATTTTAATGTTTACAGAAAATTTAAAATTAAATTTTTTTTTATTAGAATTATAATAAAAATTAGTTTGTTAAAAAATTTTATTGTAATTGACCAATAGAATTTAAGAACATTATTTCCTCTCTTTTTAAAAAATTATCAATTGTATTAAAACAATAATTGTAATTGAAAAATAGAAATCATTTTCCTTATAAAAATTGAAAGTTTTCTACAAAAATATTAAGATGCAGAAATATGTAATGTTTTGTTTAAAGAATATTCATAAGATTTCTACTTAAGAATTATTGAGCGAATAATTTTACAATTATATGATTAATTGAAATTTCGTAAAATTAAATTGAAAGTGAAAGGATTTCAAAAACCTTTTAGATGAACTTTATTAGTGTAACAGTGTGTTTAACACACTGCATTATTGAAAATAATTACAAGAGGTGTGCAAAAAGCTCGACTGACTATTTTTGAGCTTTTCGTTTTTCAAGCCGAGCCTAATCAGTTTGAGGGTGAGCCGAGTCGACCTTTATAAGAAGCTCGAAAGTGAAACTTCAGAGTACAGTAGAATTCCAATAATCCGGACTCAAAATAAATAACTTGAGGCGTCAATGTTTAAATGGTTTTTTGCAGCAGCGTTTTAAATAGCAGATTGAAATCTTATTACTCAAAATATATAAATCTTATGCTCATTTTGATTATCCGGATTTTCGCTTCTCCGTATCGGGTCTGGTCCCAATTGATCCGGATAATTAGAATTCTACTGTAGTAATCATTTAAAAAAAATTTTTTTCTTTCTTTGAAAAATATCCAAACAATTTAAATTTTATAAAATTGAATATTGCAAACAAATAAATTTAAAATTCTCAAAGAAATTTTACAAAAATAGTTATAAGTAATAGATGAAAAGAAGAATTTTAGTTAAAAAAATTAAATTTTGGAAAAATTATAAATTATTGTAACTGTGAGTGATTTTTTTAATGTTTTATAGTTATTGAAAAGTTTAATTTATAGTTTGAAATGAAATTTTTTCCTATTTGACTTGGACTGTATATTTTTTATTATTAATAATTGGTCCGTAATTTTTCATTTTCAGCCTGTAAAGGCCGTATTTTTAAATAATTTTACTTAATAATTGGTCCGTAATTTTTCATTTTTAGCCTGTAACGTCCGTATTTTTAAATAATTTCACTTAATAATTGGTCCGTAATTTTTCATTTTCAGCCTGTAAAGTCCATATTTTTAAATAATTTCACTGGTTCGAACCCTGTTTATGTATTTATTTTCGTAGTTAATCAAAATTATTGTAGGGTCAAAAAATAAATCAAAAATTTGTTTTTTATAGGTGTCACCAAAACCTACCACCAGTACATTGCCGCCAGAAAGTCAACGAACCGATGAAGTAAGAATTTAATCATTTTAAACGCTTTTTTCTCAAAAACACTCGAAGTTTTTCTCGGAAACTTCTAGACCGATTCTAAATTTTTTTTTACAAAAATCTTCGTTATACATGTGGCTATCGTCGGAACTAGAATTACAGGCTTCACAGTGCCTCTAAAAAGTATTTTAGGGGAAAATAGGGGACTGAAAATGAAAAAATAGGGGACTTTTAGGGGACCATAAAAATTGGTTAAATAAAGATAAAATTATTATTTATTTATACAGGGTTGCCACAAAAATTTAATTTTTTTCTCTGACTTTTCCTTGATTTCCAAACATAACTTCCAATTTTTCCCTGACCCTAAAGAATATTTTGATTCACTCTAAAAATTAGTAGATACTCAAAAAGTGTTCTATTAAATTTATTTACAAATTTATTAAAAAGTAAAAATATTCGAAACCATCAATATTTTTATTTAAAATAAATATTTATTCATTTTTTTTCATTGGAATTAAGATGTTCGAAGATTTCAAATTCAAACCTTTTCAAATTGAACAACTCATCAGAATATTACTATAAAACATAAAGATGACCGACTGACAAAATCATTATTTTATTATTATAAGAATATTGTTACTGAATTTCTTCAAAATTATTTCTATCATTTCAATTAACATTTTCTAGAATTTATAACTGAAATTCTACTTAAAATCAATAACATCAATTATTATTATTATTTAATTAAACTTTTTCAAAAAAAAATTAATTCTACAGAATTGTTAGATAAAATTAACAACTTTTGAAAATAATTGAAAACTTTTTGAAGAATTTTATTAAATTTTTTAAAAATAATCGAATTCCTGTGGAATTTTTTATTTTTTTGAATGTTCGTTTAGAATTTTATCAAAATTTTTGTTTCATAATTGAATTCTTTCAGAAAAATTTAATAAAAATAGTGTAGAATATTGAAAATCATTAAACTAAGAAAATTTTTTGAAAATTATTAAAATTTTGACAAGAATTTTATTAAATTTTTTAATAATTGAATTTTATTACTGTTGAAAATAATTGAATTCTTGTGAAGATTACTATTATTTAGGAAAATAATTGAAATTTTGCCTTTAATTTTATTAAAATTTTTTAAAATAAATAAATTTTATTAAATTTTTAAAATAATTGAATTTTTATACTGAATATCGTAATTTATGAAAGTAATTTAAGTTTGCAATAAATTATTTAAAAATTTCTGAATATGATTGAATTTTGATGAAGAATTTCGCTATTTAAAAAGATAATTCAAATGTTGACGAGAATTTTCAAAAAAAATTTCAAAATAATTGAATTTTTTCAAAAAATTGCGTTAAAATTTTAAAAATTGAAACTAATTTTGAATTAATTTTGAAAATAATTTAAATTTTGTCAAAATTTTTATTAAAATTTTAGAAAATAATTGATTTTTTGCGACGAATTAAATGTTATTTATGAAAATATTTGAATTATTGCAACGAATTTTATAGTTTTATTAAATAAATTAATGTTTCATAAAATAGAATTCTTTCCTCAAGTTTTAATAAAATTTTTAATAATTATTTGTATTTTTCAAGGAATTTATTTCAAATTGTATTAAAAATATTTGAAATTCTACGATGAAAATAATTAAATTCGTAAATGAAATTTTATTATTTATGAAAATAATTGAATCATTTCGTAGAATTATATCAAAAAGTTTTTTCTAGAATTAAATCTGTTGATAATTTTATAAAAGTAGTAAATATTGAAAATTATTGAATTGAAAAAATCTTTGGTTAAAAGTAATTGAACTTTTGCAAAGATTTTCATAAATTAAAAGTAATTAAATTTTTGGCGAAAATATTTGCTATTTGTGAAGGTAATTGAATTCTTTACGAGATATTCGTGATAATTTTTAAAAATAATAGAATTTCTTCGAAGAATTTTATTAATTTTGAAAATAATTGAATACTTGGGATGAATATTGTAACTTATGAAAATAATTGAATTTTGTAAAGAATTTTATTAAAATTCCTAAAAATTATTGAATTTCTGTGAAGAATTTTGTTATTTATCAAGATAGCATTTAAACTTTTGTAATAATTAAATAATATTAAAAAATTCATTCTTGGCAGAAATAGAAAATTGTTTTGAAGGTTTTGTATATCAATTTACTTTTAACTAGTCGTTCAAACATAAATTCAAAATATTTATTCTTACAGAAATTTTTTTTTTGTTAATTTAAATTTTTATAAAATTTTGTTTTCAGTTTAATTATTAAACAAAGAGTTTTTTAAACACATGAATTAAATAAACATAAATTTCAAGATTTGAAACTTTCAAAACAAACCCAGTAAACAAAAACTAATTGAAATGAATTAAAAAGAATTCACAAAGAGCTTTCGTGAATCCCGCTTTGTGACAAATACGAATTGGAGCCATGACGCAATCTTCCTGAATTCGTGAAACTGTATTGAACTTCCGAACCTTCTATCCGTACCAATTCACTGGACAAGTTTTGAGCCTTTAATTTTTTTTCAATTCGTTAGCACGAATTCAATGCATTCCTTGGCCATTTCTTTCGAATGCGAATTCGTTTGGACAAATTGGTACATATTGAATTAAATTCAATTGAATATACAAAGAGCTTGAGTGAATCCCGCTTTGTGACAAATACGAATTGGACCCTACCAAAAATGTTAATTCGTTTCAATTCATTTGAATTAGTTTTTTTTTACTGAGAAAGTTTCCAATTAAAGAAAAAAAGAAAAAATACGGGAAATTTAGGGGAACTTTTCAAAATAGGGTACGTTTAGGGGCCAAAATTAAAAAAGGGGACTTGTAGGGAAATAGGGGACAGACTGTGAAGACTGGAATTATTTTAAAATATTAATTTTTACCATTTTTTTAATCCGAAAATCAATATAATTCATAGGAATCGTAAAAGAATTCTAGAAAATAGCTTCATTTGAACTTTTTTGTTGATTCTAATGCAATATATAATATATATAATATAATATATAATATCCTTTCCTTATAAAAGAAACCGTGTAGCCGTATGTGATAATTTAATAGAGGAAGATGTAAAAAATTGTTTATAATAATTTTTTATACTTTAAAGGATTTTTTAACTGTTAAGCTGCGGTTACACCTCTGCAGGCTGCCTGCCTGCGCAGGCAGGAGCAACGAGAGTAAGGGAGAAGTTTGAAGTCACTAACTCTCTTACTCTTGTCCGTTACCATGACAACCTGCAGGCAGGCAGGCTGCCTGCAGAGGTGCAACCGCAGCCTTAATTAGCAGCTGATTATAAACAAAAAATTATAGGTGAAAAGAATACGTCACGGACGAGGACGGAGTGGCGGCAATAGTAAAATAGCGAGAGCGGCAGCATTTAAAGTAAGATTTAGATCAAACATTGCGAAAAACATTATAGTCCAGTCAAAGTAGTCGAAAAAGTTGACGTATCTTATCTTAGGACCGCAATTTTTTTGCTTAAAACCTTTATTTTAGTGTCAAAATAAAGTGCCTACATTTGGTACCTCGATCTCCGTTGGTAAGGCAAAAAATTTTTTCAAAATAGGTGCAAAAATCAGTTTCTTGAAAATAACCGCTTTCCCGTTTTTTTCGTTATTTTGGCCAAAATTCGCTATTTTTCATTTTTTTAAACTACTTCTAAAATAATGATTTTTTTAAACGACCAACAGAGCACTTAAAGCTGACTAAATTCCTGACAGTTAACGACAAAGAAAAATAATATAGCTGTAATAGTTTTAGAGATTCAATCTCTCAAAGTTGACCCTTTTTGAGGATTTTGCAAAAATTCTTGGCTTTCCCGACGGAGTTAAATATACCAAATTTTGGCGCTTTATTTAGACCCCAAAATGAAGGGTTTAAAAAAAAATCCCGGTCCTGAGATAAAATGTCTAAAAATGCTAATTTGACTGGTTTATTAAGTAACAGGACGACAAAAGGCTTCGATATGAGTGAAAATGCCATTTCAGATAGTAGACGACAGGAAGTGAGTCGAGAATGATAGAGGGTGCACACCAATGTTTATAGCTATAGGTATATTGCAGCATGCTTTAGTATAGCGAAAACCATTAACATCGCATCGGTGCATACTCTCTCTTATTCTGGATTCAGCTGGAGACTACAAGATATCAATCTTACGTAGTGTTGCTGCGATACGAGACCAGGCGAGAATTCTATCAATCTCGTCTGGTCTCGTAATTTTAAGGCGATTTCTCGACTCGCCTCGAACGTCAAGAATCCTATGCATTATCATCTTGTCTTGTCTCGTACGTTAAAAATGCATGGAAATCACGTTTTCTCGTCCTAGTGACTACTCTCTCGTCTCGTATCGACTTAACGATATTTAAAAAACACTGTTTTGTCTTATTTCGTGTAATTATTTTCTCGTTTCGTCTCGTCTCTCGACATTATCGCGGCAACACTAGTCTTATAATTTTGTCCAACTAAATTTAAATATTTTTTCAGATCGTGAATGATGGAAACGATCCAAATAAAAAAGAAGGGACAAGGAGAGAAAATAGAAATAGGAAAGGAGATAAGGATAAGGAACAGAAGAGGGACAGTCGATCGAGGAGCAGAGGAAGTACGAAAGAAAGGGAAAGAAATGGAAGGAAGAATGAAGAGGAAAGAAAGGAGACAGGTGACGGAGAGGGGCGAAGAAAAGGAAGAAAAAAAGGAAAAAAATTGAATTTTAATAGAGGTAATTCAAATAATAATAATAAATAATAAAATCAAAATTTTGTAAAATTGAATTGTAAACAAATGAATTTGAAAATTCTAAAAGATCTTTTTCAAAAATTATTAAAAATAATGCATGTATAGTAGAACTTTAGTCAAAAACACGAAAAAAAATTTAGTTTTGGAAATCTTACAAATTATTGCAGAAATCCAATTATTTTTAAAAGTAAAAATATTCTTTGCAAAAATTAAATGTTGTTCAAAAATAATAAAATTCTTCTTTGACATTCAATTATTTTTATAAATAATAAAGCTCATTGCAGAATTTCAATTATACTTTTAATAGAATTTTAATCGAATTTATCGAAAAATGTAATTTTTGTTAAAAATTTTATTACAATTTGTCGAAAGAATTCAATTATTTAAAAATTTGTTGATAAAATTCTTTACGGGAATTGAATTTTAAGAAACATTCAAATATTCAATAAACTATTTATTTTTGTATTTAAATAATTGAATTCTAGTAGAATTTTTAAACAAAAATTGATATAAAAGTGAATTTTAGTTAAAATTTTAGATATTAATTGAATATTGAAAGCATTACCTTGAATTTTGAAATTAATTTTTTTGAAAAAGTTTAATAGAGTTTTTTTATATCTTTACAATTTTTATTTTTTCTAATATATATATAATTGAAGAATTGACGAATAATTGAAATTTCGCAAAGTTAAATATTGTAAACAAATGGATTTGAAAACTATCAAAGAACCTTTCCAAAAATTAATAAAAATAATCAATTTAAATAAAAATTTTAGTTAAAAATTGTGGTAAATAAAAATTGAATTGACAATTATTTTATCACTCGATCATCTGTGATTATTATAAATTATAAATAAATCGATCATTATCGATATCTGCATGTTTTGTAGTCCGTAAAGTCCGTATTTATAAATACTTTTACTGGTTGGAGCCCTGGAATTCTAAGTTAAATTAAAAAAGTTTGAATAATAATTCTCAAAAATAAATTCTAGGGGTGTTAAACATCATTTCTACAAATTATAAGATTTTTTTAATAACTTGAAAAATAAATGTGACAAATCGAATTTCTAAAAATTATTTTTTTTATTTCCAAAAAAAGCTTTCAATTTTGTTAAAAAAGAAATTATGCAAATTAAAATTTAACAAAGAACAGAAATTTACACAAAAGACTAACTTAAGCGTGTGAGAGACAGAAAAATAAGAAAATACAGAATTGTTGTAGTTTATATAGTTAATAATGGAAATATTGTTTAATTATATTTAACAAATAAAAATATACTCTGTTTCAGGAAATGGACGTCCGTACATAGGGAAGAAGGTCATAATGATTAATCCCAGAGGAACATTCAATTTATAAATTTTTTTTTAAACATAATTTTGTTATTTTAATTGAATAAATTGAATTAATTTGAACTCTTATGTGAATAATTTCCTTAAAGAACCAGAGAAATTCGCGTTACAATTCATATTTTCTTTTTTTAGAAATGAAAATTTCGATATTTCCTTAAATCCATTATTTTTAATAATTAATGAAATATATATTGACAAATTTAACTTATTTTACAAAATTTTAAGGGAACACCTAAGTGGAAAAATGACAAAAAAATCGATTTTTTTAAATTTGATTTTCTAAATGTATACTCAATTAGGAATAGAACAAGACTTTTTAAAACCTTTTCTGAAGAGTAGAAAAAATCTGATTACAAGATTCTGAATACCATGAGTTTTTAGTATTTTTTCTTTTTTCGTGTCTCCTGTAAAAATTGTTTTTTTCCAATTTTTTAAACTTTCGGTACACTTTTCTCCGAATCTACTAAACCGATTTGTAATTTTTTTTTACTTTGTTCAGTAAGGTTCCAAGAATACGAATAAGAAGTTTAACATCATTTTGAGTTGTACAAACGGAAATATGAGTCAATGAATAAGAGAAAATGGGATTTTTATTTTGCTTTGGGTATATATATTCATAAAAAAGTTTCTATTGAAGATAACGTCGTATTACTTCTTATTCATATAATTGATTATATTTGTAATCGAATGAAAAAAGGGCGAACGCAATTAAAATAATAGTTTTCGAGAAAAGTGTACCGAAAGTTGACTCTTTTTGCATTGTTTTCAGGTGATTTAGGTGTCCCCTTAAATCAGTAAAATTTTTCAAAAATTGAAGTTCTTTAAAATTTCAAAAATTAAATTAATTCAAAATTTAAATTTTATAAAATTTGAAAATTGAAATTAAATCAAGATTTAAGTTATTTTAAAAAAAATTATTGTCTGAAATTAAAAAAAATAAAGTATTTATATTATAATTTGTGATAATTTCATAGTTTATGTGAAAAAAACACTAAGATTCAGAATTTTTTTATGAATTCTAAAAATTTAACTTTTTTCAGTACTTTTAATAAAAAACTAGGGTGTCTACTAGTCCTTGAAGTTCTGGAATTCCTGGAAATGTCCTGAATTTTGAAAAAATGTCCTGAAACGTCCTTAATAACTCCTTTTTTAAAGACATATTTAATCATTAAAAGTTTTGTTATTTATGAAAATAATTGAATTCTGGAAACGAATTTTATTAAAAATATTTTTAAAGAATTGAATTCCTATGAAGAACTTTATTTCTGAAAATAATTGAATTCCAGAGAAAAATATTATTATTTATGAAAATAATTAATTTCTTTGTAAAGAATTTTATTCCAATTTTTTTAAATAATTAAATTTTTCAGAATTCATTAAAAAATTGACAATAATTGAAATCTGACAAAGAATTTTAAAAAAATTTTTTTAAATAATTGAATTCCTGTGAAAATGTTTATTTTTGAAAAAAATTGAATTCTTGGGAAGACTTTTATTAAAATTTCTTAAATAATTGAATTGTGTCAAAGAGTTTTACAAACATTTTGTGACAATTGTATTTCTAGAAAAAATGTGGTAGTTTACGAAAATAATAAATTGTATTCTATGACCGATTTTATTATAATTTTTTAAATTTATAAAGTATTTTATTAAAATTTTTGAAAATAATTGAATTCTCAAGAAAGAAAATAATTGATTTCTAGCGAAGAATTTTATTCAAATTATTTTAAATAATTGAATTTCCATAAACAATTTATTTGTAAAAATAATTTTAGGAAATTAGAAAAGTTTTATTAAAATTACAATGTAATAAACTATATCTTGTAAAGAATTTTGTCAACATTTCTTTAAATATTAGAATTTGTAAAAGAATTTTATTTAAATTTTTCAAAGTAATTGAATTTCTCCGAGCTATTTTTTTCAATTCTCTTTATATATTTCAATTCTTCCGAGAAACTTTATTAAAAAATTTGAAATAATTGAATTGATGCGAAAATTTTATTAAAATAGTAGATATAAAAAAAATTAAAATTAGGAAAATTTTTGAAAATAATTGTGATTCTGACAAGAATTTAATTAAATTTTTTAAAAATAATTGAATTTTTAAAAAGAATTTTATTATTTATAAAGATAATTGAAATCTTGACGAGAATTTTTAAAAATTTTCGAACATAATTGAATTTATGCTAACAATAATTGCTATCCATATAATAGCAATTAAGGTTAGCTAAGGTAGCTAAAAATTAGCTGAAATAGCTAACTATTTTTCTCCGTGTAGTATTAGAATTCTTGTCAATTTCATAATTCATAAGGCAAACAAAAAAGACACCAAAATTCAGAATTTTTCTATAAATTCTAAAAATTAAATTTTTTTCAGTACTTTCAATAAAAATCCCTAACTTTTCCCTGACTTCTGTTACACATATAAATGTCCTGAAAAAATAAGAAATCTGTCCTGAAATGTACTAAAAATGTCCTGGAATTTTAAGTCATATTTTCAGTAGACATCCTGAAAACCCTAAATTCCCTGTTATTAGAACATATGATTATTGTACTCATACTAGTATTAAAACTACATTCCAATTCATTTTTAATTTTAATAAAAATAGTTTTTAATTAAAAGTTAGCTATTTAGTAATTTTTAAATTTAAAAAAAATGTATTAACATATTTGTTATTAGGAGATAAAACTCAAAAATGAATTTCTACACGTTTAGAGCAAAATTAAAAAATTGTGTTAGTCCGCCTTCTTGAATTAGTAATATTTTAGTTCAAAAAATATCAACAAATTTGTTATCAGTAGGAGAAAAAACTCTTAAAGGTAATTTCTACAAGTTTAGAGCGAATTCAAAAAATTGTATTAGTCCGCCATCTTCAATTAGTAATTTTTTTTATTATTCTTAAAAAGATAAACAATTTAAAAAATATCATGTATTATTTTATTGAATAATTATTAAATAAAAGTTTTAAGTTTTAATTAATTTTTAATTTAAGTAATTTTTGTATTAAATTAAAAAATGTCTTGCCATAAATTAATAAATAAAATTTTGAAACTTACCTTTTGAATGCAATATTAAAAATTTGTCTTTATCACTTTTCAGAATGATTGAATATTGTAATTTAGAAATCTTTCAGCCCGACATCTATTGAGAGAAAAAACGTTAATATTTGCAATATGGTAACACTTTCTTTTTTTTCATGTTATCAAGCGAGCTCTTATGGTAAATGATCATTTAACTTTCCCATTTATCTACAAAGAGAATTACTCGTTCTCTTTGTATCACATTCGGAAGCAAACTTTTCACTTTTATATTTATTTTTACAATAAGTGTCTTATTAATTGGTAATTTTTTTGCTTTTAATTTATTCTGTAGTTTACTGGCTTTTTATTTTAAATACTTTTAGGTTTCAAGTAAGTGTATTTACATAATTATTTTACAAAACACCGTGTCAATGTAAATAATCACCGACGATATTTTTAACTCTAAATTTTAACTTCAACTTTAAAAATTATTTTCACATTGAAAATCAATGTTTATTATTAAAGTGCCTATATCAATTTCTTCATTGGAATGTCCTCTTTCAATTCCTCTAATAAAATTTGTGGTTTTATTTGGTTTTTTGTATATTATTTACAAAACACTGCAAAATCACCAAAATGTCGGTGCTTTCTCGGTGTTCTCAATTCGCAAGGGATTGAGATTATTTCTCTCCTAGGTTGTCTCAAATATCGCTTCCCACATTTCCCAGAGCCTTTTATTACTTGACAATGAAAAAACACAGTATCTTTTAAGCTAAAATTGTCAATATCAGTTTTTAATGAGCTACCACAGCGGCAACGACCTAGATAGAAAAATTATTTAGTTTAAGAAAAAGGTCCGTAAAGTACTTAATTTAATAGAAAAGGACGAAAAGTTCCTAAATTGTAAAAATGATTTCAGAAATTCAATTATTTTCAATTCTGCGCAGAATTATTTTATTGTATTTAAATAATTGAATTCTAGTAGAATTTACTAATAAAAATTGATTTAAGGGAGGATACCTAAGTAACTCACAAAAAATAGGCGCATTTTTTAGAATTTTTTTTAGCTTAATAGAATGGTCAATTAAAAATCTGTAAAGTACGTTTTGTTACATGAGTATTGATATGCAAAATATATATATTTTGCATATGAATACTTATGCAACAAAACGCACTTTACAGATTTTTAATTGACCATTCTATTAAGCTAAAAAAAATTCTAAAAAATACGCCTATATTTTTTGTGAGTAACTTAGGTTTCCCCCCTTAAAAATGAATTTCAGTTAAAAACAAATAAATTTGAAAATTCACAAAAAGTTTTTCAAAAATTATTAAAAATACTGAATTTGTAGAAAAATTTTAGTTAACACTAAAAAAAATTAACGTAAAGAAATTACAAATTATTGCATAAATTCAATTATTTTCAAAAGTAATAAAATTCTTCGCAAAAATTCAATTTCGTTCAAAAAATTTTAAAAATTCTGGTCAAAATTTTAATTATATTTATAAAAAATAAAATTCTTCAAAATTTAATTATTTTCAAAAATTTTAATACAATTCTTGGAACAATTTCCATTATTTTCAAAAATTTTCCTGAATTCAATGATTTTTAATATTTATTATTTTAATAAAATTTACCAAAAGAAATCAATTATTTAAAACAAATTTTATAAAATTCTACGCAAACTATTAATTATTTTCATAAAATAAGAAAACTTCACAAGAACTCAATTATTTACAAGTTTTTTAAAAATTTATTCACAATAAGTTAACTATTTTCACAAATAATCAAATTTTCAGAGATTGAATTATTTTCGTAATTTTCAATTATTTCGTACTAGAATTCTTTTTAGGAATTCTACTATTTTCATAAATAAAACTCATTGCAAAATTTCAATTATGTTTAATACAAACTTAATCAAATTCCTCAAAAAATGTAAGTATTCTTGAAAATTTTATTATAATTCGTCAAAAGATTTCAATTTTCTAATAAAAGTTGATTTAAAAATGAATTTTATTTAAAATTTTAGATTATAATTGAA